ATACACTTTGGGCACTCGGTGCCAAAAAGGTTAGCCATCACTGGTATATGAGAAAGACCTAGGAAATGAGACAAAGAGACACTGTCTAGGAAACAGTTAGAAAGGAGACAATATTGGAGTCTTAATGCCTCTGGAAAGATTAAAAAAAGCTCTCAAAATTCCATCCGTTCGAAAAAACATCCCAAATAGTGTGACAATTTAAGTCCTACAAATTCTGGTGGTATCATAATACTCCAGCCCTTACCTCAGGCAATTCAAAGAACTGTACTGTACTTAGCTTGAAAATTGATAAAGATTTCTACTTCACCCTAATGATTGAAAAGATTATTAATTCATGTAGTTCAAAAAACATACAGTCCAGTTTTGCTACCCTAGAATTTGATAAGACAGGAGATGGGTCTATGATAATTTGCCATGGACAACTCACTGTGGCCAACTCACCATAGCCCACTTGCCATGGCCAACTCACTGCAGGACAACTTGCTATGGGTAACTTGCCATGGGACAATCTGCTGTTGATCAAGAGTGACACTAATATTAAAGAAATGGTGGAATAGAATTATTAAAGAAAGGATGCAAAAGAAGAAAAAGAATGAAATGTGAATGACAAAAATTAAAATATTTTTTATTTATTTTGAATTAAATTGTTAAATTGTTCTGCGACAAGTTGTCCCACAGTGAGTTGGCCATGGTGAGTTGACCGCAGCAAGTTGGCTGTGGCAAGTTGTCCCATTCCGAAAGGAAGTGTATCTTAAATCTCTATATAAGATTTAAGATGAAAGAGTGGATTGGGTCTCTAAAAGTAAGGATAATAATAAGAAAGGGTACCATGCTCCATAAATTGTTTTGTCTACATCTCTGACAGAGCATTGAAAATCTAAGGATGTTCTTCAGCCTCCACAATTTTGTACTCCTAATTTAGCTGTTCACCTAACCAGAGACATAGAAGAAAACAGATTTGTATTATAGGAATTCATTATTATTATCTTCACAATTGGCAAGCAAAATTTTAAAAAAGAAAATGAAGCTACTGACAATCTTTCCAACATGCTCTGTAGAGAAGATCTGCTGAGGGCTAGACAGATATCAAAAACCAACAGCATGATAATGATTGCTCCCTCACTAGATAAGTTTGTTCATCAGAGTGAACAGTTTATTGAAAGTAAATGCTAACGAAAACTATGGCCAATTATATTTCAAGATGATTTTTAAACCACACAAATTTACAACACACCCTATCTGCCTCCAAAAATATTTAGTTCAAGTACATGTAGCATATAGAGTTATCCAGATTTTATTTCCCAGACTGAAACATGGAAAATAACTGGTTATTTGTTCCAAATTGTTGGTGTCCTAAATCTAGGAGAGGAGTGTGTTTTTACTAAATCTTGAGAGAACAGTTTAAGAAATGGTAAGGTATTGCAATGATTAGAAATGTATTGGAAAGTGCCCCATTAATAAATAAATGAAATAGCCTAGTATATGTAACATAATAACCATCTTCTAGTTTTCTTTCCTCCTTATATCCATAGTATATAGTTTTTAACTCTGTGGTAGAAATAAAGAAGAAATGTGCCTTGCCCAAATTTTTAAACAAATTCATCCTATGCATATTTCACAAAATCATATAAAAGCAGGAAAAAAGATGCACACTATATTCCTCACAAATAAGAATCCAGAAAGACTTTATGATCAAAAAAACAACAAGTAAACAATATCAAGTTTGATAAATTTCTCAAATATATATCTCCATGCATCGATTGTCATCAACTTGACCTCAGTTCATTCAATTCATGCTTGCCTATAGTTTTACTCATTTCAGTCAATTCCCTTCCTGAATGCCTTCATCCAAAGATTATTTTGACACTCAAAACACAAACAGCTTTGGACATGACATGATATAGAAGAGGAAAAAAAGAATCCAAGAAAAAGAAGTCAATAAAACCATTTAACATTTGATGTTTTATCTCCACTGCCTAAAATAACACCACAAGCTGTTTCTGTATCAGGAAGTTTCATCATCTGACAGGCAGGAAAATAGCATGATTCCTATTTAGCCAAATGGTAGAAAATTTGAAATAAGTGTTGCCAAAATATTTCAATATTTTGGCCAAACAGGTCACTACTACCACTAGCACTACCACCCAAAATCAAAGAGGAGTATGTACATTCTGAAAGCATAAAGGTGTCTGTGTTTTTAATAGGCAGGAAAACAAGGTGAACATATTCTTTATATGGTGGAGAAGACAGAAAAAGACTGCAGAAGAAAGAAAAGTATAGGAAAAACCACTTCTATGTACATCACTGTATAGATTTAGGTTTAATCCAGGTCTGAACTTTATACTCTACAAGAGATCTTTCTTCTGATCACAGGACTATGACAAATAAGCTGTTTGCGGTTTCTCAGAAAAGGAAAGGCATAAATTCAAAATAAATTTCTTTTTGGGATTCTTAAATATAATCTACATATGCTTTCACTAATGTTAAACTGTTAGAATTCTACTTATTATTTGATCTTTGTAGGACTAATTAATCAATCCTCTAGTCTATAAACAGAATTCAATTAATGTAAGGTGGGACCTGGCCGGTAGTTGAAAAGGTGATGATGGGAAAACTCAGGGCTGTAAATTTTGTGAAGCAATACAACAAATGACAAAAGTATCCCTGAGAGCTAACTATAAAATTGCATGGGTCACCCAGGAGCCAGGATTGGTTTGAGGGGAACTTTACCTTCTTATTCAAACTCATTGCAAGTTCCACTATGCATAGAAAGTTACAGTCCTAATCTCTTCATAAAAAGCAACATATTTATCTCTTGGGGGGCAAAAGTTCCAAATAGGTTGTGGACAGAAGGAGAAACATAATGTAAAGTGGGCTGAGTTGATCAGGGGAGAATGTAGGTTTTCCCAATCTGTTGATGATATATTGGGTAAATATTATGAGAACTGAACGCCAATATTTGTGAAAAGTACCGAGCTACTGGATACTGAGCTAGGATTACAAAATGTTGCTACGGGGCAACATTTTTGCTCTAAAAACTTAGCAATTAATAGATGTAACTTCCCTATTTGAATATTTATACAACCGCTGATGCCAGTTCATAGTCCTTTATCAATCAATCCTATATACATTTTCTCAGAAATAAAGTTCTCTTATGTTCAACTGCTCTTACTAAGTCTGCATAAAATTACTTATTTATTTAATTAATATCTACTATGCTAATATTTCTTTAACATTATGGAGTTCCTGAAGACGGAGTCAGGTAAATTTTCAAAAATCCAAATAGTATTTTCCCCCCAATAACTTACTTGACACCAGTACTGGAGAGTGAACAAAGAACACACTGTCAAAGAGGAAATCTGCACAGAATGTTACTGTTTGTTCTCTATGAATGTAGAAGTATATTTGCTAAAAGAAAAGCATTCCATTCCTCTCCAGAGATTTCCCCTTCATTCAGTAGAACGACAGCTCTGGGTTCACATCCCTTCCATTCAACTTATGTCAGCCTATCAGTTACAGACCCTTATTTGCTAGGCAGTCCTTTGCTACAAAAATTCATCCTAGACTTCAACTTGGCTTTACTTGTTCCTAATATGAAAGCATTTGCTCTTGCTCTTGGAAGCTAAATGAGGGCATTTAAATATTGAACTAGTGGAAAATTACTGTGCAAAAAATGTTCTTTGGCACATCATTCTTGCATTTTCACAAAAAGTTAATACCATAATTGATTATTGACATATTTGCTATCCTTTGTCCTCCCCAAATGGACAAATTGAGGTAGGATTTCTCTTATTTGGAGAACTGCATTCAGACTAATTCTTATTCCAGGTTGTAGTTCTTTTGGCTTTCTTCTGTGTTTGCTCCAATTACTCTTACATTTGCTCTGCCTCAGTGTAATATAAGGAACCATGTAACTGGTGGGTTCCAGAGAACAGAACTGGTGGAGCATCGTATTAGTGGCAACCCTTCTTTAAAAAGATTTTCCAAGGTCATTCTCTATTTTTACTCTAATTCTGTATCCCTCTTTATTCTAGCAGATAGTCTATGACTGATTGCTGTTGTTATTCTTGGCTGGTGACTATAAAATACTATCTTCCCCAATCTGCCACCCACTGTATGTTTTGGGAGACCAATCAAAATTCCTATCTAGCTGTCAGACCAACCTTCATCAGTTGGCTAAATGCAGTGCAGTAGATTGAAGAATGAGTTGAAAGAAGGGAAAGGGACAATTAAAACAAGTTTAAGAAAGAATAGTGATGATACTGATATAAATTGTTATTCAAAGAAAAAATGACACAAAGGAATTTTAGCCAACGACAGAGGTAAGGATACAGTTAATAAGCAAAAGGAAGCTAAAGGAGGCAGCAAGTCAAAACCAGTTCGTGTGCTCAGGAAGAGATGCAGTTTTTCTTGCACAACAAACCTGACGTACAGGCGGCTGTTGGCAGGCAGCGTGTTAGTGAGAAACTTAAAGGAATCCTAAAAGGTATTATATCAAGATATGGTGGACTCATAGAAAACAACAACAACAACAAAACCCAAAGAAATATTTTTTTATTTCTGTAGGTCTTTGCTGATTTGACCAGCACACTGTAAAAAGAAGATTTTTTTTCCTCAAATAGATGCTCAATTCTGAAGAGCAAATGATTTGCTCCCAACTTTAGACTTGTTTAAATCTTTTCAAATGCAATAATCAGACAGAAAATAAAAATTCAAAAGACTAAAATATCATTCCTTACTTAAAATTAATTATGAACATAGCTGGCATTTGAGAACTTTTTTCTCAGTAATTAAGAGTTGAACAAAAGTCACCCAGCCTCTCAAAACTTTTGTGTAATATGTGCAAATGAAAGATACAGAATGAGAAAGAAAAAAAGAAAGAAGTATAATTCTTATGGCAGGTTATTATAGAATAATTTATAGGCTAGAAACATTATCTAAGAATGAAGAACAAAACTGCAAATCCTTAAGATATACACACACAAAAAGTAGAGAATTACCAGTCAGACGAGTCTTCCTGTTTTTGAAATGTCGGAGATATTAGTATTTTTGTTCTTGTACATCCAGATCTTGTTAACCCAGTCTTTTCTTAATGCTTAGTTCCTCTAAAGGTCTAAGTTTAACTGAAGAACAAGAACCTGCAATCAAGAGAAAAAGAGAAGGCGATAAGAGCAGGAAAGAATTTCAGCTGCTGGCTGCTGCTACTGTTCTAGAAGCATTTGAGCTATTTTCAGCACTTGGCAGGTTTGTCCACAGTAAGAGAAACCAGAAAAGTACATAGGCAGGAAACTTAGGAGAACTTGGTCTGCTGCTCAAATTCCACATCCACTTTTGAAATGTTGAGAAAAATCAATTTTCAGGCCATTTGAAAAAGTACACTGCGTGTTTGCACCAGAACCAGACCACAATCACCTTCATTTTTCTTGGACCCAGTAACCAGTGTGGCAGGCACAGAAAATGTTGTGTGTCTCGTTTCTTACAGACTCATGCCAGTTTCTCTAAACAGAAGTTCATTCTACCCTTATTTTATTTTGCATCCAAAAGTTTTCGATCCTTCTGGCATCAGTGTCCAGGAACAAACTCAGCTTCCTAAAAGGGAAGCCACCAGTTTATTTCCAGTTTGCAACTAAATTTTTGGAATCAGTCACTCAGCTATTTCTGAATGTTAGTGACAGAGGCTGTTGACATTGTAGTATTTAACTAACAAGGAATCTGAAACCAATCAGTATTGCAATTACATTTTCACTCACTGCCATGAAAGATAAACAATCAAGCTCTCTTCAACTTAGAATAGCATAATTATTATATATTTGATATATTTAGGCACTCACTATGTTCAAACCATGTTCAACACATTTTTTTTTACTTTTAATCTTTAGATTCAGAGTCTTGGTATTTTTATGGGTTTGAATCTTTGATGGTTTAGCTTGCTGAGGTTTCAATTATTGGGTTCTAAATAGGTAAATAAAGCATATTTTTAGAAACTTTAAGAAAAATCTATCTTTGCAGATGGAAAGCTGTGACTGAGAGAAAGGTAGAAATCTTGGCAGGACCAAATTTTGGAAAATATCTCCATTTTAAAGGCATCATTACCATCAGGAAGGAAAAAGTAATTATTTGTGAATTAGCCCTTTCCCACATATCAGTGAACTTTCCAGGATGTCTAGAAGAGTGTGTATTGTTTGATTTCCTAACTGTGTTTTTCAGAAGACATCCTACATCATCCAGAAACCACCAGATTACTCATATTTATTCTGAAATGTTCTTCAAAGGGTTTTCCCTATTAGATTGGAAAATTAGTACACACACACAAAACAAAATGATTTTTAAATCTACTCAGGTTTCAGGTCAATCAATTTTTTATAACTTGTTGAAAGGGGTAAATTAATCCTATACCTTGGTGCTTGGTACACAGGATATTTTCAGGAGGAGAGGGAAGAAGAAATACAAAACTCAGCAATAGAAACTCACATAGGGAAGAGTTTCTTTTTAAGAAAAATACTCAACCAACAGATTTCCTAGAATTCATATTTTATTCAAGACAGTAGAATGAACATTCTCTGGAACAATTTCTTTAATTGTTGTCTGTGATTAAATATAAGCAATATTTATAAAATGTTCTACTAATTGGCATACACTCTGTTTCATGTATACTGCTAAGCCATAATTTTGTTTGCTTTTGCCAATGTACTATGTGGGAGGAAAGTCTTGAACATAGTGCTGCATTCAGCAAGCTGCAAATTGTGATTAAGCAGGTGTGAAGGACTCTTTCATATTAGACTGTAATATTACAAAAGCATCAGAGCTCAACCTTCGGGTTGATTCAACCATTACTGTTGCTACTCCATTTATGGGTGCTCCTTGCACTTCTCTTCTCTAAATGGGAGAATGAAGAACCATTAATTACAGTGCTAAATAACTAAAATGGGAAGAAGGGAGGGAGAGATGGAAGAAATTAGTATGCTTTGTTTCTTTGGCATTCATATTGTGCATCAATAGAAACCACAACAGGTTTGTATATAAAAGGACTTAGCTTCATACCTAATAAGTCTGCAGTTAAAAAGGATTGGGCAACAGGTCATGGAAAAGAAAAAACAGTAATTATGGGCTAGATGGACAGGTAGTCTGAACAGGTATAAGGCACCTTATAGGATTTCAGACAGAAGTGACCAGGAAACTACAGTACTTTTAAAACAGATTATAAGGCAATCACAATATTAGTTTTAGTCAGTAGACTACTGCATGACTAAGTTAATTAGTATACCTTCCTAATTTAGATCATTGCCTGTGCCAGTAAAACTAGCAAGGAGGGTTTAGGTTTATATTCTGATTAACTGATTCTTTTGTTTAACATTAAGCAGATTTATTTCTTTAGCAGAAGCTAAAGCAAAAATGCAAAAAATCCAAGTTTTCCCAACACCTTCATGGAAAATTAGAATTAAAAAGATAATTATAGACAAGGGAGCTGCCTTATTATTTATATCTCCTGTTTGAGTAGCAGCCAATGTAACTTTAAATTATTTGGGGAGCAAGAGGGGCACGACAAATGGATTGCTTTTATCCATGGAGCTGCATGGATTTCTAGTTTGCAACCAGAGATTGCAAACTATACCTGATATTCACTCTATATTCTATTATATACTGAGGAACAATGAGTTCAAACGGTTTCAGTAATGACAGATCTGTGGCTTATTATTTTTGATCCAATATTGAAATGGATTATCTAGAGCCCTAACAGTCAGAATTCAGGCCTGGATATGGGACAGAAATGGTATTGATCATTCTTTTTGATGATCTCGGCGGGAGCAGGATGAGGTTAGTCATCCATCCTTGCTCTTCTTGACCTCTCAGAAGCTTTTGATACCATTGACTATGGTATCCTTCTGGAGCGGCTTCAGGGGATTGGAGTGGGGGGACCTGTGCTATCCTGGTTCACTTAGTTCCTCTGTGGCAGTTCTTAGTCAGTGCTGATATGAGGGGCAGATCCAGCCCTCAGCCACTGCTTTGTGGGGTCCCACAGGGCTCAGTAATTTCTCCGTTCCTATTCAACATTTACATGAAGCCTTGTGATGGCACTGTCCCAAACAGACTCTGCGCATAATTGGAGGGTTCTCCTGGACTTGTAACTCCTGCTCAAAGAGCAGGTGGCAGTCATGGCCAGGAGGGACTTTGCGCAACTGCTGGTTGCGTGCCTGTTACGCCCTTTCCTGGACCAAAAGCCCTTCTCATGGTCACTCATGCTCTTGTCACCTCCCATCTTGACTATTGCAATGCACTCTACATGGAGCTCCCCTTGAAGACCATCAAGAAGCTTCAGTTGGTGCAAAATGCAGTGGCCTTTGTGCAGACCTTGGTGTGCACATTTCACCTCTCCTGTGGGAACTGCATTGGTTGGCAGTTTGCTTTCAGGTGCAATTCAAGGTGCTGATTGTCACCTTTAAAGCTCTTCATGGCTTGGGACCAGGTTATCTGAGGGACCATCTCTTGCCGGTCACATCTACCTGATCCACTAGAGTGGGAAGGCAAGGAATGTTGAGGGTCCCATCCCCTAGGGAGATACATCTGACAGGACTCAAAGAAAGGCCTTCTCTGTGCTGGCTACCTCTCTTTGGAAGATCATTCCCCAAAATATTAGATTGGCCCCACCCTAACATTCTTCTGAAAGGTGCTGAAGACCTGGTTCTGCCAGCAGGCCTCGGGAACCCAGAGCAGGATGGAGCCCACTAAATGTCTTGTATGGATTTGTGTTGTCGCCAGGATGAAGGTGGGGAGCTATTATTTTTTGTTATTTTCTTTTATTGTTTTTATATTTGTGTAACCAGTTTTGAGTTGCCACGGGCAAGTAGGCAGTTATGTAAAATTTCTAAAATAAAAATAAATAAATAAATAAAAAACATGACCATGCCTTATTATCAAGTCCCAAGAAGTCTATATTTTGCATTGGTTGTGTGCAGAATTTTGCCTTTTTTAATGCATTACCTCTAAACCTTAGCTACCAAAAAGCTAGAACATAAACTTTACTAAACTATCAGGCCAAACATCAGTTCTTGCTAGTAAATACTTGTTCTACCGTGTTTCTCATATAATAAGGCCGGGTCTTATTTATTTTTGAGCCCCGAAAAAATGGCTAGGCTGTCTTTTTGGGGGTGACTTAATCCCCCCCCCCTTGCATCTTCGGGCGGGCGGCAATGGCTTGGATGTTGATCTCGGCGTTGGTGTGGCACTTTGTATTGGGGTCAACGCAGGCAGCACCATATCCGGGTGTGCAACAAAAGTACTTCCTAATGGCAAGCCCCTCCCCCACCATTCCCCCCATTTTGCATGTTTTAATATAGGCCTTAATTTGGGGGGAGGGGCTTAATTTCATTTCATGCCTATAAAACATGCTGGGACTTCCTATTGGGGGAGGCCGTATTGTTGGAGAAACAGGGTATTATCTTCTGGATAAGGGATGCATAATATTATTTGGAGAATAGAAAAGAATAGGATCAGGATAAACCCAAATTTGAATAAATTTATATTTGAGAGTCTGGCATATTTTAGATATGCTGTGGCTACACTTTGCTAATGGCAAGATGTATGAGAATCATATAAAAAGTACCTGGAAGACACCAATTCACTAATCCCTGTCTTAAGTCTCCCCAATAGTGAACATTCATTTTTAAACAAAATTTCCCTAATATTTCTCCCTGGAATGATATATGAATAAAGAAATCTGAAAACACTGGATCAAATCATTACTTTTTAATTGCATACAGAATATATATGGTTGAACATGGATGTTGGACACATACTGTACATACATCACATAGTGAAGAATCTGAATATGAACAACTATTTTTCCCATTACAGAGAGTGGGTGATCATCCAGAAGGACAACAGACTAAATTATTGCTTTGAGCTATTATTCAAAAAAAGAACAGCTCACAAACTCTATTCTATTACTCAGAGTAAACCAGAATATATTTTTTTAATCAGAAGTTTTGACTGAGACTGATAGGAGTTGTCAAACATGTTGGGATGAATGTATAAGATGGCTCAAATACTTTGAAGATAATGAGTAGCATTTTTATAGGTTTGAAAGTTCACTCTTCTTCTACGTTATGGTATCAACTCTCATCCCAGATAAGTGTTTCTCAATCTTGGGGACTTTGGGATATGTGGCTAGTGGGAAATTCTGGGAGTTCAAGCCTGTCTTAAAACTTGCCATGATTGACAAATGCTGTTTTGGATAGAGATTTTACAAAGCTGATTGATAATGCATTGATCAGATTCTAATCCATTCACTTGACTTTACAAAGACACAAGAGGATTGGTCTGGGGTATTCTACTGTAAGTAACTTGATCCAGTTCATGGAGAAGGAACAAGAAGTTTTACAAGCATTGCAAATGCAGTCTCAACTATATCTTTCCAGACAATAGATAACAGCTTATGCCAAAAAAAATGTTGCAAGTGTTAGGGCTCTATCAATGGCATATGAATGTTATTTGACCAGGATGAAATTGTCTGGGCAGGAGAGAGACAGAATGTAAAGAATGTAAGCACGTGATATGACTTCCTTCAATGATTAAATCCTTGGGTGTGAAAAGAAGAAGGCTAAAACTTCACTTTATAAGGAGAGTACAAAAAAGTACTTAGAATTTGAAGTAGGACTGGATGTCATAAATTCTGCACCATCTATCCAGTCTTCTCAGGGACTGTCAAGTATTTGTCACTGCAGAATTACAGTAAAAATTTAGATTCTAGTCATGTTCAACTAAATCTCCAGGGAGTTATAAACTAATTTATGCCTTTATCAAGAAAGCATGCATATAGAAAAGCAGATGTCACCCATAAAGACGGTTGTCTACATCTTTCTTTGACACTCCAATTTTGATACTGGGAGATGCTAAGGAAAAGCATTGAAAACAAACTCTCCTTCTATCTGCAATACTATTTGTATAACTGGGCCATAACCACATTTGCTAGGATGTGGAAACATCCGGTTCCCAGAGTTAAAAGAGTACTGCTTTGAAAAAGAAACTTCAATGGTGAATCAGTGTGGTGAAGCAATTAAGGTACTGGACTGACACTGGGAGTTCTAATCTTTCACCAAGCTACAGAAATTCGCTGTGTGGCTTTTGACCAGTTATTCTTCTTTAGCCCAGCCTACCTGAAGAGGAGGGAGCACTGGGTATGCAATCTTGAGTCCCTGTACAAATAGCAGGGTATCAATAAATCAATCAATGTGTCAATCAATTAAACAAATAAAAGACCAGTGTCTTCAGGATCTAGGCAAGATATATGGTGATCACAGGAAGCAAAATTGCCAGTAGTCCCATCAATACTGTGTTGTGCCTCTATTTATATATTTGAAACAAAGAACAATTGACCTTGTCTAAATCATGAATGAGGCAAATGCTTAATGATAGAAAAAAATCTGGAGGAAATGTCAAGTTTACAATGCTCATTCTGGCTTAAGAGCAATTCAGGAAGATGGATCATAGTAAGATAAGTGTCTCCTGTTGTTTGTGACCAGAGTAGGCTAAATAAAGAAGAAATTGTGGATGCAGAATGGCAAGGAATATATGAAGTATTTAGAATTACAAAGTGTACTGTGTCTGCAGAGTGCACTGTGAAAGAAATCATCTGAGGTGTCAAATTCCAGAGGCTGTGAGAGTCTCTTGACTGTGAGCTTCAGAAATTAAACAGTTCTAAAGGTTAGCTACTGAAAATGTCCTAAGTTTTCAAGTATTTCTTTGTTTTAAATTGCTGTCACTATTTTGCACCTCAAGGATGCAATTAAAAAAAAACATTGATGTGTATACTTATTTTTCATTTTTTAGGAGTAAATAAAATAGTGTTCATGCTTTTAAAACTGACATGTGGACCTGGCATGATCTAGCTGTTTTGGGGTGGGAGAATAATTGAGGCCAGGATCTACAACAATTGTTTTACTGATGAAACCAGGAATCACATTTTAAGATTGGTAAAGAGACTCCTGATACAGTTCTACAGAGGAATTATTGAGTCTGTCATCTGCGCCTCTGTAACTGTCTGGTTTGGTTCTGCAACCCAACAAGACAGACACAGACTTCAGAGGATAATTAGGACTGCAGAAAAAACAATTACTACCAACCTGCCTTCCATCGAGGGCCTATATACAGCATGAGTCAAAAAGAGGGCTGTGAAAGTATTTACAGACCCCTCACATCCTGGACATAAACTGTTCAACTCCTACACTCAAAATGACGCTATAGAGCACCGCACACCAGAACAACTAGACACAAGAACAGTTTCCCCCCCCCCCCCCCCGAACTCTGCTAAACAAATATTTCCGTCAACACTGTTCAACTATTTATTAAGTCTGCATTACTATTACTATTAATCTTCTCATTGTTCCTATCACCCATTTCCTCCCACTTGTGACTGTATGACTTAACTTTGTTGCTTGTATCCTTACAATTTATATTGACTGTTTCCTAGTATGATTTGATTGCTTATTTGTACCCTATGACTATCATTAAGTGTTGTATCTTATGATTCATGACGAATCTATCTTTTCTTTTTATGTACACTGAGACCATATGCAACAAGACAAATGCCTTGTGTGTCTAATCACATTTGGCCAATAAAGAATTCATTCATTCATTAAGAAATTGTGCTTCAAGTACAAATTAATTGCCACAGATTTCTTTAATGGCAAATAATCACCTGGGACTATTTCACACTCAGCTACTGCAAAACAAAGCTGAAATTTCACTTTAAAAAAACCCTGTCCTCTGTCTAGGAATTCCAACTTTAAAATTGCAAATGTAAAGCTGGAATGCATTTTTTTTTTGAAACAAATTTTATTGATTTTAAAGACAAACAAACCATCGTTAACCATTAAATACATAAAACCTCTCCATTATTAGTTTTACAAGTCAAATAAAATATTATTTTATACAACATAATTCTATTTTTCACCATTTCAATATAACCATATAGATATCTCTTAACAAATTTCTCATTGTTTCTCTTTTCGTATTCAATTTCATTAATTATTATTAATTTTCTATATTTATCCAGTTTATAATCATCATCTTCATTGGAATGCATTATTGATATCCCTTTTATCTCTGTGCATTCATAGTTTTATAAATTACAATAAATATACAAAATTGCTGATACTTCATGTGAGACTATGTCTCCAATCTCAGTCAAGATGAAATATTGCCTTTCAAATCAGTTAGCCTCAGCAGGTGAAGTATCAGGAACAGGCAATACAAGAACTCCTCAACTTACAACCAATCACATAGGTTAAGTACCAAAGGTACTTATGACCGGTTTTGAAGTTCTGTTGGCTACTATCCCATGGCCATGGAACCGTATGTCTTGGCAACTGGCCTTGATTACTGCTATTTGCAGTGTGCCACACTCATATTGCCATGTTGTACAATGTTTTTGCTGAAAACCAGCATTTATTCAGTTTTCAGCAAAATCAACCCATATTAAACAATAGGTTTACTTAATGTCTGTGGTGTTCAATTAACAACCATTATAAAAAAGGTCATAAAATATATCTAGTCATTTCGTGATCTGCTTTACAACTATCACAACTTGTGACTATAATGGGAAGGCTCTATTATGGTTGTAAGTTGAAGATTACCTATAGAATCAGCGAGAGATAAACCAGAAAACTAAGTGGGCAGTTCGCACACAAAAAAGGTAGCTTGCAACCCTGAAACAATATTGTGAGTATCTGTGTATCTACTTGCATTCTTCAGCTGACAGATAGACGCCACAACCAGGATACTTTCCTTGAGAAATGATTAATGCCTGCCTTCAGTCTAGGAGTCAGGAAGTGGGCAATAGTTCAACTATGTTTCTTTGCTAGTCACTCAGACACCTTGTAGATTGGGCAGATTATAAATATTGTCAATCACTCAGTCAGCCAATCAAAGAGAAAATAATCTGTCTATAAAGTCAGCAGTTGCAGCACTGCAAAGAGTAAACATTGTGTTTACATTTACAAGTTTTTAGTAGAATGGCACAAAGCTAGAATTAGCTAAGGTTCTCACACAGGCCAGTGTTAATAGATAGGCTCAGAACTGCTTCTCAACTGCTTCAAAATCCTAACACCAAGGGACCCATATCAACCTCTTCAGATGGAAATTTTAAGATAACCAGATTGCAGGATGGTAAACCTGCCAACAAGCTTCTAAAGCATGTTTAGTACCTTTTGTAATGGTCTGAGAGAACACCCTCCTGGGAGACAGGAGGAAAAAAAGAAGCCACAGTCTAAGCAATGGTCAGATAAAGAGGCAGCTGAGCCCCAGAAGAAGTGAAGGCATGGCAAACTTCTCAGAAGGGACCTTCCATAGTTTCTTAGATTGTAAAGGTAAGGGAGCAGAAATGTACTTTCAGACTTGTAAGATTGATATCAGCCTTTTAAGGTAATCCAGACAAGAAGCAGAACTATGAGTGCTCCTGCTATTTTTATTGTACAATTACAATGGTAGAATCTTGCAAATATGATGTAATATTCTATTTCCAACCTAGTATGTGCTATTTCTAGCTTAAGGAAAGGCTTATATAAATTGATAGCAATGTATCTCTTTCTTTGTCTCAGACATTTTGGCACCTGCCCTTTAGCAAGTAGGCTTCAATCTATTTTGCCTCAGCAACAGTTCCTGTATATATCTCCATCAAGACCATCTTCCCTAACCACCTAAGATTACAAAATTGAGCTAGGACATTCAAGTTTAGCCACTTGTCCAATAATTCATATTTTAAAATGAATTCACTTTTAAAAATGAAGATACATAATTTTTATACAATACTTTGTTGTATAATGTTTTGTGAATGCTTGGTTCACAAACTATCCCTGCAAAAAGCATTACATTTAGCCAACATGTGAATTAAATTACACTTAGTTTAACATCTCATAAGTTTGTTGTGAAGATGTAATGAAATACCACATTGACTTCTTAAAGAAAAGTAGTGTATATAAGTGTTAATATTGGGCAAGATGCCTACAAGTATTCCCACCTTGCATGATATTTTTTCAAAAATAAATCAAAGCATATTTTCTCCCAAAGTAAGCAATGATTTGACTAATTTCTTAGTTCCAAAAAAAGTAGGAAAGTTGTATGCAATTGTACAGTATTTCCCTTAACTCTGAAGAAAAACCCTTACAATTCATCAGTAAAAATAGGAGTGGATCACAAGTGTGCAATATAGTTCTAGAAGTAATAAAACTTTGACAAATTGTAATTCCTATCCAAGTTTTATAATAATCCATTTCAAAGGTTCATAAAGTTTGCTTTTTTTCTCTGATACTGGAGAAATTTGAAGGTTATTACAGCATTTTAACAACAGTTGTTGTTGTCTTCCATCTTAAATATTTAATAGTTTGCTTTCTTTTTTTTAATGTACAGGGTGAATCAGAATACTGGCATTTTTCACAGGAAATGCAGAACAGAAACCTATTGTTTAGTAAGATAGCTGGACATGCTGCCAAATCACTGCTTTTTATATTCAACAAGGTCAGTTCTCTTTATATGTTGTTATTCTTTTTGAACAAGGGAGGACTAAGTATAGAATGTCAATAAATGAGAATATTTGTAGTGCAGGGTTGGAATGAAGGGTCCTCAGTGCTTTGAACTTGGCTGTTTCTTGCAGACATTTCATTACCCAAGTTAGGGATTTGCTCTCGGTTTCTATTTTAGTGGCTTACCTTGCCTGTGTTGGTTGGGGTGGTCTTAGAGGTCCTTTCTTGGGCTGCTTACTTTTGGCTCGTCTGGAGTTCCTTGACTGGGGAACTGTTTATTTGATTGTTGGTCTGATGTTAATCTTGGAGTAAATCTGCTCATCTGGGTGTTGATTGCTGGTAGAGAGATATTTTGGTCCTTTAGTTCCCTTTTTGGCTTGTTGATTGTCCCTTTTGCATAGCATACATATATTGTTTGTGCCTATGTTTTTATTGATGTCCAATTTGTCAGAGTGCCCGGCTTCTATAAATTCCTTAGCATTTTTGTACTTGGCTTGGTCTAGGAGAACGGACACATTTTCCCAACTTAAACTATGGTTACGTCTGTCCATATGTTGTGAAATTAAAGAGCTTTCATCATATTTTCTGACTGCGAGTTGGTGTTCGTGGAGGTCTTCTGCCTATCTTCTGCCTTTTTTCCAATATGCTGTTGTTGTACATGAGTTGTTGTTTTTTGCTGGGTCTTTTGGCTTACTTAGAATGTTTTGAAGGCTTTAGCTGGTTTGTTTGCTACGCTGATTATATGTGGTTGTAGTAATCTGTTGGTGGTTTCTGAGATGTTCTTGATGTATGACAATGTTATTCTTTTTAGGGCTTGTGTTGATTGTGCTGTATTGAGTTGAGTGGCTGTGTGGATATCCATTATGTTGTAATATGTTGTATATGTATCCATTATGTTGTAATATGTTGTAATAGATGTTTTGTTCAGTGGTGGGATTCACATTTTTTTATTACCGGTTCTGTGGGTGTAGTGGCTTGGTGGATGTGGCAGGGGAAGGATACTCTAAAATCTCCAGAGATGATATTTGCCAGTTCTCCAAACTACTCAAAATTTCCTCCACCGGTTCTCCAGAACTGGTCAGAATCTGCTGAATACCACCTCTGGCTTTGTTTCCTTTTTCTGCTGTTCAGGATTGCTGCAGTGAATTTATGCTCATCTAAATAAAGGTTTTACATAGCTTCTCTTGTGGGAGGTTGGGTTGTTGCTTTGGTAGTGGAATACTCAGTTAGTATGGGTGGTTTATCTGTACACTTGTGTTTCTAGTTTGCCATTGTGGCCTCTGCTGATCAGGCTGTCCAGGAAGGGTAGTGAGTTGTTTCTTCTTCTCTGGTAAACTGGATTCCTTTGAAGATATTGTTGATGGTTCTGTGGGTATTCTCTAATTGGTCCTTTTTTATTATGGTGAAGGTGTCATCTACATGTCTGATCCATACTTTGGGTTATATTTGTGAAAGTGCTATGGCATCTAGACCTTGATAATAACATCCATATAAGTCCTGAAAGTGGTAATGCCATTAGTTTTATTGATTAAGTTTGTCCATCAAATTTGAAGTATGTGGTAAGGCAGAGGTTTATGAGATCCAGAATCCTGGGTGTTTCAATCTTTGTGTATTTATTTAAATCAGGTGTGCTGTGAAGCAATGTGGTCACAGATTTCATCCTCATATATAGTCACGTCTCTGATTGTTTGAAATCACTGTAGTGTGGAGTTGATGGAGTGTTTGCTTCCTCTTGTGAGGTGACAAGCTTTTTTGTTATTTCTTTTGTGATGCTGTAGGTAGGGATCCCTGGAAATGATAGGACTCGATGTATCATTGTAATATGTCTGGCTTTTATATTTCAGGGCATCCATAGAAGCATAGGAAGATGGGTTCACTGCTCCTCAACTGCCATTATTTCTCTTTGGTAATTTGATCTTTCTTAGTAAGGTCACTGAGAGTTCTCTTGATATCATTGTCTAATTTCTGTATTGTGTTAGTGGTCCCTGGGATGTAAATTTAAGTAGAATGTCAAGTAACCAGCTCACTATCACAAAATAGGAGGAAGTAAAACAACCCATCATTTCCCAAAATGACAATCTGAATTTAGGATGTAAGTAAACATAAAATAGAGAGCAAAATTCTCAATGGCCCCTTTGGAGAGAGTAAAAGAAAATAGTTGCAATTTGAATATTTGTGGGAGTGGGAGAGAAGAAGCAAAAGTTGCTGTCTCTGAAAGTTTTGTTATCATCATGGGCAGGATTAACTGCTCCCTACTAGTAAATCTTTTATATCCTTCTATTTAAATGAATGGTCCAAATTTATTCTTATAGTGAAGAGTTCTGCCTTTGATGATATTGTATCGTAGTGAGAACAAATTAGTTCCAGAATCCAGATTGCCCAGCTTTGAAAGAGAATGACCTTATTGAAATGATATACATCGATATACATACACACACACACATACATACATACATACATACATTGTGCATAAATGCACAATTGTGCCTACTGTCCCTGAGCTATTGTCCCCATTTATTTGTACCTATTTCCTGTATTCGTACTCATGTTTATTCTTATACCTATTATCTTATAAGCGATTGATAAATCAAATCAATCAATCAATAAAATAAATTAATAGTTGAATTCTCACTTCCAATCTCTTCACTGGTATTTAATACTTTCATTAATCTACAGTTTTCATTAATGAGGGTGGATCTAGTTCGGGACAATCTTAGAAGCTACCTGGCTGCTGATGGAAACAGAACATTGGTCTTAATGAATCTGCATTTATCAAGTAAGCTATTACTTGAATGATCACAAACATAATGTTGTCATTTATTAAACTGTACTGCTATTTTTATTATTCGTAACACAATAATTCACCATTCATCAACTAGGTATCTTCCTAGATTACAACATCTGGAATTCTAAGGCTGCATTCCCATGTTTATTTATTTGATTTGTCAATTGCTTACAAGATAATAGGTATAAGTATAAACATAGTTATGAATACATGGATACATATAAGAAAATAAAAGAAACAATAGGACAGAGACGGTAGGCACGTTGGTGCGCTTATGCACACCCCCTACAGACCTCTTAGAAAAGGGGTGAGGTCAATAGTAGACAGTCTAAGGTTAAAGTTTTTGGGGTTTGGATACGAAACTACAGAGTCAGGTAGAGTATTCCAGACATTGACCACTCTGTTGCTGAAGTCATATTTCCTGCAATCAAGTTTGGTGTGGTTAACCATGAGTTTGTATCTATTTTGTGCTCTTGTATTGTTATGGTTGAAGCTGAAGTATTCCTTGACAGGTAGGACATTGCAATGTATGATTTTATATACTATACTTAGATCAGACCGAAGGCTGCATAGTTCTAGGTTTTCTAGATCTAGAATTTCAAGTTGGTGGCATAAGGTATTCTGCAACAAGTAGAGGAGTGGAGAACTCTTCTTGTGAAATATTTCTGGACTTTCTCAACTGTGTTAATATCAGATACATAATGTGGGTTCCAGACTGGTGAGCTTTATTCGAGTATTGGTCTAGCAAATGTTTTGTATGCTCTAGTTAGTAGTGTGATATTACCAGAGAAAAGGCTACGTAGGATTAGGTTAATAACTCTTGCCTGGGAACTGTAGGACTGGTAGAAAACCTCGAGAAAACATTAACTGTCTCCATATCTACAAATAGCTCCAATGATCATGTTTCAAAAATACTCATGAATTTCTAGTACACTACATAGATTTTTAATTGATGACAATCATCCAGCCAAGCTACTTTTACAAACATAAACTATATTGGAAGCAATTTTTTGGACCAGATTTGGAAAACTCATATAAATTAGGAAAGACTTTGACCCATCAAGAGAATAAATAAACAGTATAATGGTTCATTTCTTCCATTTTATGTATTAGAACTTACAGCAAATCCAAAAAAGAATGTTTTGGAGGGGAGACAATGATCTCCACACAGTTCACTCAGGGAAAAGACAGACTTAATTTGAAAAGGCGATTCAAAGTGCATTCCTCAGGAATTGGGCGTTGGTTCTTACCTGATACGCCCCTTCTCGGCGAGCCGCAAGGAGCATCCAGAGACTGGGATGTGCTTCCGAGTCCTCTTCTTGCAGGCTGAGCTTTAGATGAGGAAACGCTCCGCCCCCTCACGTGACATCGCGGAGCGCCTCCCCAGTTTTTGCGATAACGAGAAGAGAGGTTATTGATTCTTTCTAATCTACTATTGGCTCCTTGGCTGAAGAAAGAGCCCCCACCAGACGGGGAAATTAGGGTGGGGCTGGATGCTCCTTGCGGCTCGCCGAGAAGGGGCGTATCAGGTAAGAACCAACGCCCATTCTCCCTCGAGCCGCTCGGAGCATCCAGAGACTGGGACATACCAAAGCTGGGCTGTCCTACGGGTGGGACTCCGTCTGGCCCGAAGGCCCCTCCGGATCACTGATGACCCTCTGTAAGACCCGTCGGCCAAAAGAGGCCTCCGCTGAGGCGTACGTATCTATTTTATAATGTCTGATAAACGGGGACGGAGAGGACCAGGTGGCTGCCCGACAAATGTCAGCGATGGGGGCTTGTGTGGCCCAGGCCGCCGAGGTGGCTGCACTTCTGGTGGAATGGGCGGTTATCCCACCCGGAGCGGGCAGAGAATGGGAAAGGTAGCACCTCGCAATAGTAGCCCTGATCCAGCGACTGATGGTGGAAGGGGAAACCTTAAGCCCCATTGACCTGGGTTGAAAGGATAGGAAGAGGGATTCCGACCTTCGCATGGATTGAGTGCGCTTAATATAAATACGCAAGGCCCTTCTAACATCTAGGGTGTGCCAGAGGACCTCCCTGCCCCTGGAGGGCCTGGGGCAGAAATTTGGTAAAATCAGTTCCTGTGACCTATGGAAGGGAGAGTTAACTTTGGGTAGAAAGGTAGGGTCGGGACGAAGGACCACCCGGTCTGCGTGGAACACGCATAGATCGCTCCTGACTGACAGAGCTGCTAATTCCGAAACTCG